TTGTAGTTTCAGATTCGTTGGAGATAATGTGCACCCTTTTGCACCTGGTTGAGTTACAAGTATGTAAAATATATAAAAAAAAATCCACAAAACCTTCGAGGTATTTTGATTTAAAATCATATTAGGTTGCTGTAATCAGTAATGTTATGGAATTAATTGTTATCCATACCTATTTAGAACATGTCAAATCTGTGAAAGTAGAAATGAAACAGTTACAATAAAATACAGCCCCAAAGTCCGAATAAACGTCAAATAAAGTATGTTCCAGCACAGAGAACAGACGTTGAGGCTTGAACAAAATTTCTCTAAAAACTTGTATAAAGAGTCCTATTCGACTTAAGCGCCACTAACGGCGACTTCCCCACTTAGAAACCCTCTTTGATAACATGACTTTTCCAAGCTTTCGCCACCTACATTTCGAAGTGAGAACTACTAGAAGGAGGATAGTTTCCAAATTTTCCAAGTAAAACAGACGCTTTTTGGGGCAAATCGGTCCATAAAGAAAAACTAATAATTTCCCGTGGAAACTTTTGCTCGAATCGTGTAAGAAAACGTGTTTAAAAACTATTTGTTATTATTTCGGTATGGATCGGAGATGTTTTCATGACAAATTATGCATAACAAGTTTGCACCTACAGGGAGAGGTTACCTCCTGCGCAGCTGCATTTTTCAAAAAACTAGTAAATACGTGCGATTTTCACTAAGATGAAAGTGGAAATTAAGTGAATTTACTCATGAAAGGTTGTATCATGCTGGTGGTAATAGAGAATTGGTTGTTTAGGACGCTAATATTCAATAAATGTTCATTTTGGCCTTTTTTAAGCAACCATATTGATACTCACAATTTTCGACGGAAAACGCACCGGAACTTAATTTACTCAACACGCACCATACTAAAAAAAATGGTGCTAGATGGTCTTCAAAGTGAAAACAAGATGACAAATCATCTTTATTTTGAGTAATTGAGCAATTTACTTCTGTTTACCATCATATTTACGATGCAGCATTGATGGAGCCATGAAATGAAATGAATATATCTTATGACAGTTCACCTGGAAAAGTCAAAGATGCACATCAGTCTGATCGTAAAAACGTTTTCTTCTTCAATTCGAATGTTATATTGGAAGGATTTCACGCAGGCTTGATGAAAATTATGATTTAATGCTAATTTTCACGAATTTTATATGCAGTCTGTCAACATTATCATCATCATGCAGTGGCGACATCTGCGTTGAGCTTTTGCGGCAATCTTCCAATTAATATACTTGTTCAAAAGTAATCGAAGATAGAACGTGACAGACGTGAAAAAATTCTGCACACTCCCGTGCAAAATCCAACGTTGTCAGGAGGAATGATTGCAAAGGCTCTCAAATTTCCAAAATCGACTGTAAATACCGTGCTTAAACTTTACCGGGAAACACTAACGTTGGATCGTGTAAAACAAAACAAACCTAGAAGTGGAACATATGACCGAAAACTACGAGCGAAGGTCATAAGGGCAGTCCAAAAGAATCCTAGGATCTCCGGTCGTGATTTGGCGAAAAGGTTCAGTGCGGCACACAGTACAGTTCGGCGAAACTGTATGCGAGACCAACAGGACGCTGAAACAAAACCTGGTTGCCAAAACCTGTGCAAGGAAGCTGTACGAGCAAGTTCTGATCAAGTATAACGGATGTATTTTGATCAGCTAGGTGGCATCCCTATCTTGTTTGCCTTCCCTTGAAAAGAGCTAACATCGCTGCGGGCCCGCGAATTGTGGGCCCCACTGACAGCTCATAATTTGTAAACAAATAGAAGATTCAAGCCAGAATTTCAAAAAAAGCGTGACTGATATTATGGATATTCTTAATATTTTTGCTTACATTTTGTGAAAAATAAACTTAGGACTCATGAAATATTATTTTCTGATTTTCTACCACGAAGTCAAAAATTTATATGGCATAAAAGGGAAAATAATTTCATTTGATGAAAATAAGGCAATTCAGTCACGCCATTTTTGCAGTTCACACTGGAATTGTGACGTTTCAGATGTTGGTTTCAATAAAATGGCGGCATGTCACCCAGCTGATTTTGATGGACGATGAAACTTACGTAAAAATGGACTTTGGACAAATCCCGGGCCGAAATTTTTACTTTGCTAAACGTAAGGGGGGTGCTCCGGATAAATTCAAATTTGTCTTTGCAGATAAATTCGCTGCAAGTTGATGATTTGGCAAGGCATCTGCAGTTGTGGAAAGGAAACAAAGGTTTTCATCACTGGAGCGACTATAAATGGACAACTTTAACAACATAATTTTGCCGCTCATTCAGTCACACGAAGGTCCCGTAAAGTTATGGTCTGACTTAGCCAGCTGCCATTACAGCCGCGATGTCATAGAATGGTATAAGCAGAATAATGTCGATTTTATTGAGAAAAGTATCAATCCACCAAATTGTCCAGATTCTCGTCCCATTGAAAAATTTTGGGCAATTATCAAGCGCAAATTGAAGAAATGTGGCAAAACAATCCAAACACCATCTGATTTGGAGAAGTGGTGGAAAAGGATGGTAGATGAGGTTGACAGTACTATGGTGCAACAAATGATGAGAGGTATTTCGCGAAAATTTCGAAAATTCGTCCGAAAAGCTGACGAATAATTTTTGTTGTATTCTTCCCTTAATGCTAAATAAAAATCATGCCTTTAACGTTTTTGTACTTTATTTCCCCTTGGATAAATGACCTATTTAGTGCGGCCAAATTCTAAATGGAACAGACTTTGTCTTCAAAAATAAAAAGTTAGTGAATTTGGTGTCTTGGACAAAGTTTTTTGTCAGAAAAGTTACTACAATTTTTGTGAAGTGACCAACTATATTTATTGAAAAACATAAAAAAAAAAACATTTCTATCTCAATTATACACTTAAGTAGTCATAGATATGAAAACTTCAAAACAAGCGCATTAGCATAACAATAAACTTCTCGGTAGACATCACAACACTCTAAAATGAGATTATTAAGGCGTTACCAATTAAGCGCACGAGCACGACAATTTCAACCCCTGTGCATTCTGGGGAAGATGACATTCCAGCGATGAATCTGCAATCTGAGATAGTTCTATTTCTTCAGTTAATGAAAGCGAGAAGTCTCAAATATGCGCAAGACACTTTTTGGTGTACAGGACTGCTGATGACAAGACACCCACAAACCACAAGACAAGAATATGTAACATATTAATATGTGTATCTGTCTATAGCTTGTATTACGCAAAAAAAAATCCAGGACGGATGTCAAAATATTGCTACAGAGATTATTACACTTTTCTTGACGATACCGACTTCTTTAGTAGTCAGCAATCAAGTCGGTATCGACAAAGAAAAAAATTCTGTCTCGAATATAAATCATATCTGTATTGGTTTAGTATCATTGGCATGTACAATGTATCGAGAAACTTCCCTTTCAGCTGTTGTAATATTTTTGAGGAACAGTTGTACAGCTGTTTAAAAAAGATGTAGGGGAAATGGTTCTAATGTTGGCCTGTGGATCTAAGATTGGGCCCATCGCTAAAAATCTGCTATTTATCAATTTTAGCTAGATGCATCTAGATGGGACGGTACTAATGGATATTTTGGTCGCTATTGAAAATTTAGTCAATTGCTGAACTTATGTATGGGTCCACATTAGGGGCATTTAGGCCGACATTACATCCATTTCCCCTATTTCATTAAATTGTATTAACCAAACATTTTGAAATTCACAAAGTTTCAAAAAGTTGGTATACGGACAATTTTTTGATACACTGTGTTATAGTAGTCCTTAAGTAGTAAACTGACGTAGTATCGCATATCGCCTATCGAAGTCGTACGCATGTATTCGCCAACCATTAATGTCAATGCGTGACCTGATTAACCCACGCACCGTATCTCTGCTGACCGAATCTTTCCGACTGGCATGCACACCATACCATTGTGTATCATTATTTAATCATTCTATTAACACTACTTGCTCCCGGGAGTGGCAACAGCATCAAAACACAGAGCTTCTAGTCCGAAAAGACGACGTCGGCACATTTGTCTACGGAATTGCGTCCGACCATTCAACACATATGATACCTAGCGGCTTCAGTGCAATAACTGTGCAACGACTTCAATCTTGCGGTGTACATTCAAGTCGTTTAGTTTTCATGTCTTCTGTGCACAAACGCGGTCTTGAAACCAAAACGGAACGGACATAGCAATTTGCGTCTAAATCAAGCAATCCTCATGCTCGGCTATCTCTCAGCACGTGACACCGAAAACTGTTTGTATATGTAAACCGTTAATTTGTTTATATTTACATCCACAGGTCTAATTTATGTTTACAAATTGACCGAAAAAAAAGTTGGACGTTAAAGAAAACCAGACATATTGTCATATCGGTCTTCGCTACGAATATTGAATTAGCGCGTGCTCTAAAAGTGCGGCGATAGGTAAGAAAGTATAACCCGCCGCCATTATAAATTTCATCCATCACCAAAAGCGTTCCTTGGAAAACCCATTCCGGGGTTCCTTCATACATACCACCTTCATTTGCCAACACGATTGATATCTTAACTGCCGACCGTCTACACGCAGTCTGAGGAAGCAATCGATAAATCTGCCACTCTTCCCACGATTCCTATTTCAATGACCCGTGAAATTGCCACTCATATACTTCCGATTTGTCTTGATTTTGCGCTCACTATCGCTGGGCCTCGAATGCCGGATAGAACGACCTTCGTTCTGATAAAGGAGTTCACAACTGTCTCCAGCGAGCGGATGATATAATTATTATCTTATCACAAAGTGCCACCTCGCTGCAGCTTGTTTAGAATCACACCCACTTTTACTCGGAATTGAACCAATTTTGCAACATTGTAGATAGCCAATAGGGAGCGGTGTGGATTATGGCGACCGTTTTTACTCGGCTCGCTTTCTATTCCACAGGAAACATACTGACAATCGATGCCTAGCGGAAATTTGCAACACATTTATTTTCACACTTACTTGCCAACGAATGCCATTATTTTTAGAGCTAGCGTTTTCCCGCACCAGTAAAGTTCACGCCGAACAGTTGAACGTTTTGCCGACGACTGCACCAGCAAGCGGAGAGTGCAATTTTCCTAACCCGGCGACGCGATTGAGAGTATGTTGAGAATATTTTGTTATGAAGGCTGTCGTTGTGTCTGATAGGGTGTAGTTGGGGATGGTCATTTCTATTTTTTCGATCTTGAGTTCAGTTATTTAAATATAGTAAGTGTGCCAGTTTTTGGTGCTAGTGGTGCTCTAATTGACCCTATCTTAAATTGATTGTATGACAAAAGGTGATAAGGGGGGCAAAAGGTCGATTGATGAGCAGGGGGACAAAACGTTGAATGGACAAAAGGTCGAATGATTAAATGAAGTACAAAAGGTCGAACGGACAAAACGTCGAATGGACGTTTGACGAATGGCAGAATGTCGAATGAACAAAAGGTCCAATGGATAAAATGTCAAATGAACAAAAGGACGAATGATGAGCATGAGCATGAGCATGATTGAACTCCCACGGTTGCTACTCTGTTATTGCCAGACCAGCTGTAATTACTCAGAGAACCAATAGACGATGCTTGGGACTAACAATCATCCTCAATGTGTAAATACTGGTGATCTCAAACTAGGCAATACCAGCGCCGGCCACGCCCGAACACAGGTCAAGAAAGGAAGGGGTAGGAATGTGTTGACGTGACACTCGCTTTGATGGAAGCCGAGAACACCTCTGCACTTCCACGAGGAATCACTGGGATATTGGATAATAGGGTTGGGTTTGCAGCAGGGTTCGTTTTGGTAAACGATAAGCTGAATTGATGTCCTAACAATCATATAACGCGAAGGGGCTTGGGATTGAACCCACGGTCTTCTGCTCAGTAAGCAAAAACGTTTGCCACTAGGCAGACGAGCTCCTTTTTAATCATCGAGTTGCTGTTATTACCATGTAGTCATGTTAACAAATAAAACGATTGACGCATCTTGAATGTGTATGGGCTTGAGATTAGACTCATGATGTTCTGCTCAGTAAGCAAAACCGGTTGTGCCAAGGCCACCGAGTCCATTATATCACATTATAGCGTTACTCAAGTTTTTATTACTATTCAGACCCGGCACCAACGACAACGAAAAGTTTTACGAAATACACGATAAAAAAGTGATCTAACCATACATTTTTAATATGAAAGGATCTGGGACTGCGTTTTTCTGCTCAGTAAGCAAGCCACTGCAACCGACGATCTTTGAAATCCTTAAACTAAAAGCTATGAAAGAGGCCTTCATTAAGATCCATTTTCACGCGACGTTAAATCTAGATAGAGCTGGAATTAGGGCCTAACAGCTTTTGTAAACAATGACTTCTCTTGATGATTTCTAGAAATTCAAGACTCACCCACGCAAACCAATATCCTCATCGGGTAGGGAAAGGCTTCCCCTATCCGATGGTTAGGTTGGTCTGCGTGGGCGTGCCTTGAATTCATAGAAATCATCGGTAGAAGTCATTGTTTACAAAAGCTGTTACGCCCTAATTCCTGCTCTATCTAGAAATGTTTCGATTTTCTCTTTACGCATGGTTCAGGTAATCATAGCAAGCTATGACCGACGTGACGATTGTTTAAGACCTGGTTGAACAAGCTAATCAAATGAAATTAAGTTCTCGAATTTTACTTGGTATGTAATGAACAACAGAAATACGCGATGATTCATATTTTCAGCGGTTGGTGGTTAATTTTAAATATACTAACGGTATTGCCTCCGACTACGACGGCGATCACGACAGCGACTACGACGGCGCCTACGACAACGACAACAGCGAATTTGTAACTTACCATTTTTCTAGGATAAACACCTTTGCCCGGCACCTCCACTGGTTCTTTATGTCCGCTATCTGTCATTGTTTGCAAAATATCTCATAGCAATTACCTTCCAATACCAATACTTCCTGTATTGCCATGGTCATCTGGGAGGTGGGTTGTATCTAGTGCTTTCCCTAGGAACCGTTCACGGCCACCAGCTACTGCCCGTCCAGTTTTGGGCGTATCCAGCGAGGCATCCTTCAGATTACTTACAATCTCCGACTCTCAATGCAAATCGCAGGCACACTTACGCTAGTTACAAAAAAAAACACACCCGTGCAAGAAACGGATTAAATAAACGTCACTCTCGCGAAAGCACACCCGTCGTCGTCGAACGGCAACAAAAAAGGCGAACAAAAGGACGAATGATAATAAATGCGAAAGGTCGAATGATAAGAAGGACAAAAGGTCGAATGGTGGTACATTTGGTTGGGAAGACTACTTGGCCAGATGGCAAATAGTGAAAGAACACTCAGACAGTGCGCATGCATAAGAGCCTAACTCCAACTTCCAAAACCCTATCTTAGGCAAGTACGACATTATTTCGGACAATCCACTTCCTGAAATGTATTATGTCTACAGCCGATCATTTCCGATAAAAGCACAACCTGCTTTATTCAACTCGACACTCGGACGCACACTTGCAACTAGCCTTGTGGAAGCCCCTGATCCTATCATGGCAGTCAAGCCTATGCTACCAGCGTTCAACAGTCGTTCCAGCCCTGCGTTAGAGCTAGGAGAGGGGGTTTTCCAAACTCCAACTGTAGGCAAGTACAATCAGCAAGCAACAACTGCTCTGTCTAAAAAATTCTTGGTTTCCAGAGTGCCATTGTATATGTCTGCTCCTCGACAATTGTGGTCTGAAGACGTACATTAACAGTATACAAGCCCCACCATACCAGAAGCCGAGACGCTCCACAGAAAATTCACCGGAAGAAGCATCCAATTCCTCTGATCTAGTCCTGCCGAAGATTGACGACTTACACCATTATGATAAATCAACTTCTGTTTGTTTACTGGAACGCACTGCCGTTGGCATCATGGAAGCCCCCGAGCCCCCCGCCACAGTCGAGCCATTCCCGCCAGCAACCTGCAGCCGTCCCGGCCCTGTGTGCGGGCTTGGTGAAGGGGTCTTCCAACCACTCGTTTACGGCAAGTATGAACTCGTCCATGTGAATTCAACTGTTGATCCGCAACTTGGTTTCAGTTCATTTTCGCTTATGGTCACCACTTCGAGTCTTTCTATGCCAGGAGATGTTACGCTGCCTGATAGTTCACCGTTCTCTCGTTCGGATCCTGGTCGAGTTACCATTGACACGGCTCGCACCGAACCCTCTAGCGGTTTACGAGTCTACTATCAGTCTACTATCGATGTTTATCTGGCTGCGCTTGACGGGGGATATGACGTTTATGTATTCACGGAAACTTGGCTCGATGGGAGGATCAATTCAGTGCAACTGTTTGGTAACTCTTTTACTGTCTACAGATTAGACCGTAATTCATCCAACAGCATTCGTACTCGCGGTGGTGGTGTCCTCATCGCTGTTTCCAACGCATTCGCCTCCTGCGTAATCGCCAACGAGCTATTTACTACAATTGAAGCAGTTTGGGCTAAGGTCAGCCTTAACTTCGCGGAACATCCTCATTGGAGCGGTGTATATTCCCCCTGAACGACGACATGACTGCAGCACAATGCAGCTTCATCTGGATGCTACAGAATTTGCATCGTCCATGGCTGATATAAAGGATGTGCTTCTTCTGCTTGGTGATTTTAATCAGCCTGGGCGTAGCTGGTCACCCTCAGGCCAGGGTTATGCGTTTCCAGATCCGAGTGCATCTTCAACTACTCCTGCCAGCCGCTTGCTTGTTGACGGTACGGCTTTTCATGGACTGAGCCAGATAAACCTTGTTCCTAATTTCCAGTCTCGTTTTCTTCACTTGGCTTTTGTTAGCGAAAGTGCACTTCTGGACTGTGTCGTCGCTGAAGCGCCTGATTTCATCGTTCCTCTTGACAATTTCCACCCTGCTTTGGATATATCTATCGCGAACGGATCTCAAATTCGTTTTGATGAAACCATGACTGCCACTCGGCTCGATTTCCGGAAGACCGATTTCCGTTTGCTGAGGCGTTCCTTGTCCCGGATCAACTGGAACGTGCTGAATGACCTTGATATCGATACAGCAGCCGCTCCCTATTATAGCCTTTTGCGCGACTGTGTTTGTGCTTCAGTACCGAAGTGCCTACCTCAAAGAAAACCGCCTTGGTCTAACGCTACTCTCCGCAACCTGAAACGAGTGTGATCTAGAGCTCTCCGTGCTCTCACTCATCGACGATTTACCCTTACCAAGCAAAATTTTTCAATTGCCAGCAATGATTATCGCCACTACAACAAGCTTCTTTACAAGAGGTATGTAATTCTTACTCAACATAATCTGCAATGCGTTTGTGAATACGAAGAGGAAGGAAACTGGGCTGCCGTCAAAAATGTTTTTCACTTCTTAAGCGTCTTTTCGAATTACTCCCCATCGCAAGCAGATAGGAGACCTTAGGCCAACCACCTACTGTCTCTGAAACCTTTACAATTGTTACAGAAACCAACAGAGAAAGACATCGAACTGATTTAACGGCAGTGACTTTTAGCGCAAAACAACGGACACGAATTGGATCATGGAATGTATTGACGTTAGCCCAGCAGGGTAAACTGGCACAACTCGCCAACGAGGCGCGACGCATGAAGCTAGAAATCCTGGGACTGAGTGAAGTTCGTTGGCCAAACTTTCGAGAACACAAACTGCCGTCGGGACAGGTACTACTATACTCGAGTATAGTATAGTATTCGAGATGAAAACGCTCCCCGCCATCGTGGAGTTGGTCTCCTACTTAGCGTCCAGGTAAGTGCTGCGCTCATCAAGTGGGAGCCTGTTAATGAGAGGATAATCGTTGCCAGATTTAGAACACGGGTTCGTAACCTTACCATAATCCAATGTTATGCGCCAACCGATGCTGCCGAGCTACAGGACAAGGAGAATTTTTACAGTCAACTGAATGCCGTCGTGGATAAGGTTCCAAAGGGTGACATCAAGATCTACACTGGCGACTTCAATGTGAAGATCGGCTCCGACAACACGGACTATGAGCGTGTCATGGGACGTCATGGTCTCGGCGAAATGAGCGAGAACGGTGAGCTGTTTGCAGAATTTTGTGGCAATAA